CGTGTGAGTGTCATCCAGGGGCCCGGGACATCCGTCCCTGCACGGCCAGCGCCAGGCAGCGGCGCCCGCGTCCGCCCTCGCTCCGGAGCGGAGCCGGAGCCCTCGTGTCCATCCTCGCTCCAGAGCAGAGCCGGAGCCCTCGTGTCCATCCTCGCTCCGGAGCAGGGCCGGAGCCCCCGCGTCCGCCCTCGCTCCGGAGCGGAGCCGGAGCCCGCACGTCCACCGGAGCGGAGCCGGAGCCCGCGCGGACGCCCCCGCAGACCAGGGACCCCCGACATCCGCAGGGATGTCCCGTTCCCAGGGCACCTTCAACCACTCTTCAGCAGATGCTTCGTGTCAGACTGTAACCCTATTCCAGGAGCAGATCCTGCCACGTGTGCACACGTGTGTGCAAGAGAAAGAGAGAGGAGCGAAACAAACGTCACTCCAAAAATCAGGATTTTTATTTTACCTGATGGTGGGCTAAAGCGCTCAATTAGTCCTGCTATGATTAGTTTGCCAATGAGGAAGTGAGAAATCCATGACAATGACTGTAATTCTTCCCATAGGACCTATGGTGGCGGTTCATCCAGATGACAAATCAAAGAATCTCTTGATAAAACTGCTTATATTCTCGTTCGCTCTTTATCTCTGTCTTTCTCTATAATTTCACCCACCAATCCTCAACTGCCAAGATTTCCTGCAATAATGTAGACCTTTAAATAAGAACAACCTACTGCTGCTCTTACCAAAAGTTATTCTGCAAAAAGAATACTTGATTCTTTCCAGCACCTCGGAATTATTCCTCCTACAAAATAAACTGGCAAGAAGCACTTTGAGTTGAAATTCAAAGCTAGTCAGAAGCACTAGGAAAATTCCCCAACGTGCTCGTTGTGGTCTCTGGAAACTCCGCAAGTATTCACACAGAGCCTCATGTGGGATTTTTAGAAATAATGGGTATGTATTTGCTTTGGCTCCCTCCTTCCCCCTTTGAGACTTGTTTGAAGACAGATTTGCAAGATCTCCTAAGACCGCTTCCCGTTTAAGCTCCTCCACAACCCGAATTCCCTTCTCTTGTTGCCATCTAAATCCATAGGCACCTAAAAACCTTCAGGTTCATAAGGGGCGAGAGCAGAACTCAGTGGACGCGTTCACCTTCCTAAGGAGCAGAATCCCCGACAACACCGGGAGCGACGGGTCCTGCTGCCGCGGAAGCGCTCGAGGGGCTCCTGCCGGGAGCACCCGGGCCATGGGCAGGGGTTGGGGACACCGGGCAGGGGACGCGGCTCC